TTAAAAATATTTTTAAAATATAAATTTTAAAAAAAAAATTTATATTTATAAAATATAAATAATATCAAAAAAATTAAAACTCCTTAAAGTACCATCAAACATGCCCTAAATTCCTTTTATTCGGAGCAATAAATCTTCGGTATTAATGGTTTGTTTCAGAAACAAAATATGGCATACCTTGCATTCCTGTTCACACAAGAAGTTTCGATATATGCCCATTGCCCATCCATCCATATCCATATTAAAAGCCTAACCATAGCTTAGATACTTACCACAGCTTTGTGTGGTGGGGCTCTCAGCTGAGGCTGCTTGGTGGTGCCAAAGTTTTAATGGCGGACGGGTGGCGGGCCCGCACCCAACCACCCTCCCTCAGATGAATACATGACAACACACTGGATATAACAAGGAGGACCCACCACGTGAGAAATGAGAGTTTGTGTCAATTTGTCAAGTGAATGAACTTGCCTGGCCATTCTCCTCCACCAATTAGTTTCCAGTCTTTCCTTAGAGATGCAATCCATTAGCTGACCTACAATATAGTCATCAACTTGTATTATGAGATTGATGTAAGTTATATACATGAAACAATGTACATCAAAGTTTAAATACATAGCAAAGATATAAGAAAATGATAAATTTAATAAGGCAAGTAAAGAGATATTTCAAACTATATATTAGTCATGTAAGACTAATATGGTGCTGTCTTCTCATCTGGGTCCCAATTTCTAAAGCAACCATAACCATCCTGTCTAATGACATTTACCAACTAGATATGATCATTAATTAGGAGGTTTCTATAATGGCAGAAATTACAGAAAGAATCCAATTTAGAGGTCGTTTCAATAAGATGCGTAAATCTTTTATATCTATCACCGTGACATTTATTTACAGAACTCTCGCTTTCAGTGTACTCTAAATTTGTGATCTATGGCTAAAAACAGATGCCCTGAACTTTTGGTACAGCAGGAAGTGACACAAACATTGCTAGACAAGGGGTAGAAAACAAGAATTCAATTAGACTTCATCTCAATATCCTCATTCTCGTGTGAAATGGTATCAGAATTATCCTGTGGAAGTAGGCCAAGTAGTGGCAATGGCAGCAATGAGCTGAGATTGCAAAGGACTATCAAGAAGGCTAAGTTATCAAATCTATCCTTGGTTACACCAAAGAGCTGTGTCAAACCAGCGCCAATTAGGCCTCCAACAACACTGCCTCCATTTGATATGGACATTAGAGTGGCAAAAAGCGTTGCTTCCATTCCCTCTGGACATAACCTTGCTGCCAGTACAAGAACAGGCATGAAAGACGCCTGCATCATTATCAAGCAGAAATTTTGGGTAAGGAGAGGCCATACATGATAATGAAATTTTGGCTGATGTCATAAGTAATCATGACATTACCATATTACTCCCACTACCTCGATGATGGCAATTCCTACATCATTTTATTATAATATCCAACAGTCCAATTTCGACCATAAAATAACTATGTATATATTAACCATTCAATGAAAAATGCATAACCTTAGATCTGTCTCTATCGTGTGTGTAGCAAATTGAAATAAGTAAAATTTAATACCTGTCCTAGAACTGTTAGAATCAATGAATCCCCAATTGCAAACCACTCATCACTTATGCCAAATTTCCGGTTCAATCCAGTAACAAGAAAGACCTAAGCAAAGAAAAGTGTAACCTTGATAAAATGCCATGAAAAAAGTGTTTAAATGATCCTGCATAATCAAAGGAAATGCAAACCTGAGTCATTCCGAGAGCAGTACCGAAAGTTGTCGTTACCAGAAAAATCTTCCGCAATGGAATATTTTTAAGAAATCCATTATACAATCCAACTCCAAGCAATGATGCAACCGAAGTAACAAGCTTGACACGTCCTAGAAATTCTGGAGTGAATCCCAAATTATTCGTTCTGAAACCAAAACAAAAATGTTAATGTTCGAAATAGATAATAAAACACAGGAAGATAAAAGCAACCATAAAACAGACAAGAAGTATTTACGTGAAGTAAAACATGGCAGAGTCTGATTGTGGTGTTGCCTGCCACAGGAAAATAAAGACCGTGGGCAGAAACACATTTGGCTGCCTGAAAGCTTTCCACAACTCAATGATATGCTCTCTTGAGCTTTCAAGAAAGCTAGGGCTGGCAAAAAGAATATTCTGTGCCCTTGCCGATCCAAGAACACACTGTTCTTTTACAAGAACAGCAACTGCAGATGTTATCAGTGGTAGCAATGCCGTGATGCCGAAAACAAACCTGAATTGTTATTTGACACCAGAATGAGTGGCTCGAATTATTATTGTCCTAGGAAACTAGAGTTAAAGCCATCACTTAACTACCTTACACCATAAGCATCAACCAGGGAGCCACTAAAATATGAGCTCACAATTCCACCAAAAGCTGAAGATCCCCAGCATAAAGACTGAAGAGACCCTGACATACTCTGTGACTCACCACGAGCCCTCTCAACAACCATGGAATCTACAACCTGCAATAGCATTAAAAAAGATATAAAAACAAACTTAACTAGTTTGCAGAGATATGACAAAAAATGAATAGGATAACTATTGAGAGGACAGATTTAAGACTAACAATCAAAATATTGAAGATTAATGTCCATATTTAAAAGCTAGTGCTTGGGTCCACATACACAGGCATAATGCATCCTTGTGTGTGTGTATGTGGAACATTGCTCATAATTTCGTAACAAGCTTACAATCAAACTTCAGAAATAGATTCACAAGTTAACACATCCTATTCGTACTAAACATCAAACAGACCTTCAGCCAAGAAGTTCTTACCAGAATCCATAAAAATAAATAAATAAAACAAACAAACAAAAAAACATATGTTCAGTGCTTCATCAAGGCAGGTTTCACACATCCATTCTGCAGATCAATAGAATCAATACCCAGATCAAGACCTTACTATCCAGTGGGCACATGTAATGAGATTCTGAAAAGACTAGCATAACTAGTAAAATGCAAAATTATATTTCCAAGATCAGGATCACAAGCAATATGAACTATCCAAAAACATTCATTTATTTGGCTTCAAGAAAGACTTGTTTGGGACAGCCAAAAAAAAAAAAGAAAAAAGAAAAAAAGAAAGGCTTGTTTGAGGGTTGCATATGACATTCTTCATTAGCTCAAATTCTTTTGGACAGAAAATCTAGTTTTCTCTGTTTAATCAAATATTTTTACAATTGAAATATATAATTTGTACAATAGGCTTGCCAAACAACCTAAGCTTACTCAAATTTAATTTGTTGATGTGAGAAAGACATTCAAATCAGGGTTCATAACGCTTTTAGTGATTCACTCAATCTTTTGCTTGATATTGATTCTTTGGCTCACTCACATTTCCGATCCTAGCTTCAGCTTTGGTATCCTCTTCTTCAAGCCAAGCCAGAGATTTAAATTCTAAGTTCAAGTCAAGATTGAATCCAGCTAACATATACAAATTTGGCTGTTAATCAGATAGTCTCCCAAATTACCTCTCAGCATATAAACATGAGAAGCACATCAAGAGAGTAACTGTTGATTTGTTGTGCCAATACTTCAAGTTAGTGATTTGTCTAACACATAGTGCAATTTCATATATACAAAGTTTTTGCTTATGTCAATGAAGGACAGAATTTAAAACAACAGATAAAGAAAAAGAACACAAAGAACAAAATAGTAGGCATCCATGTCTGAAGATATCAAATTGCACCTGTCTAAGTCCAAGGAAGATACATAGCTGCCTCTTGAGACTTTTGGACTACCTCCTCTTCCAAGTACTGACCCCCAAGCTTTAAAGGGAAAAGGCTAATAAGCTCAAAAATAACTTAGACTCCTAAAATCCCCTACATTCCCTCAACTCAAAAAAATAAAAAATAACTCTAAACCCCTAAAACATTGAACACTAGACCAAATTACAGAAATAGCTGGGCAGAAACTTTTCAAAATTGTAATCCATCCCTAAACGTGAATACACTTTAAATTGGTTAACATTAGAATGAATATAAAAGAAACTTTGTCACTCTTAGATGCATCAAGAACTATTTACAGCTAACTGCCATTTATCCATCACTGATGAGGGAGGAAGCTAGTAGAGTGCAAAACCATGTCTCTTTGCATTCAGTGTGGAATAATTGGCATGCTTTACAACTTATTTGTATCCTCATAAAAGTGAGGGAAGTCTCAGCTTGATATCAAGCTGTAATTATGTGATATCACTAGGAGAGCACAAACTATTTTCCTAATAAGTAACCCTTATAAAATGCTTCTATGTTAACTGTGACCTTACTAAATTACACAAGGTTATCTGTAGCAAACACGTTTCACCAGAAAATTACAACTCTAATAAATCATATAATCCTCAACAATTAAATAATTATCAATAGAATTGCCATCTCTCAATAACAAATTGCAAAGTAAAAGAGACTAACCACATCCGAGAATGCAACAGAGAGAGATCCAAGAAGTATGCAGAAAGCAGCACCATATTTGCTGTCAACAAATGCAGCCATCAAGCTCCATGAGAGTGCACCAAGAAGACCTGATAGAATCAAGTATGACCTTCTCCGGTAACCAAAGAGCGGGACAGAGTCACTACAAAAAAAAAAAAGAACAAGGCTGCTCAAACGAAATCCTAAAAACATATTCAATAATTTGAAATTAGTGAGGCTGAACACGAAAGTGAGATTGTATAAGAGCCACACCTGATAAACCCATAAAGAGGCTTAATTAGCCATGGCAATGCAGAAAAGCCGGATATAACAGCTGTCTAAGTAAACACTATAATTCATCAGTCCTTTAGAAAATGCATATTGCACAACTCATTCAACTGCTAAAATCATTGAACACAAACACTCAAATTGAACTTTCAAACTCAACCTCAACAAAAGTAACTAAAAGTAGAACGACTTAGAAATTAAGATAAACATACTTCTGCTGGATCGAGATGCAAATCATCTTTCAAGTAAAAGCTGACAGCGAGTCTCGAGAGGCCTAAAACGCCTTGAACAAAATACACCATAGCAACAGCAACATTATCAGGTGACAATTCAACACCAAAAATCTTCAATTCGCTACCAATATACCTATTTTTCTGCCCAGAACTAGAAGTTCTCGTCTCCTGTTCCATATTTGATGTTAACAGATCTCCCTTTCCAGCACCTACTACTGCAATACATGCTTGTCTGATCAACTATTTGAACGAAAAACATAATGCACTCAACTACTCGTAGTAATTTTTACAAGAAATTAAAGAGATAAGGCTACCAATTCTGGAATCAAGAAACGGCTCATCGTCTCCGTCGCGGCGGTGGGAGGAAGCAGGAAGTGGCGCGGGGCCAGACATGCCGTTGCTCTGTTTGAGAGAGCTGCGGCGAGCTCTGCGGTGGGAGAAAGAGACGACGGAAGTGATCTTTTGGTGGATTTGGCGAGGGGAGAGAGGAGAGGTGGAGATGAAGGAGAAAATGGAGTTTGGGAAGGGTAATATTGAGATTGTAGAGAGATAGTAAGAAGCCATTGACTATTTTTTTTACGAGTTCACGCAGTTTCTAGGTGTGTTTCCTGTAGAATTACGTAAACACCCTCCTGAAGTGAAATCGGAATTTTGGCGTCCAGCGGCGGGGGGTGGAGCTAAAACGGTGGCGGTGCGATGGTGCTAAAGGCGGATAAGATGACGCTAATAAATTAATAATAAATCCACGTAGAAAGGCTTTGAGCCCATGCCGATAATTTCAATGAGCCCAATCAAGTTCGTTTTGGACCACTGCGGCCATGTCTACGGATGTGTTAAATTGAGTTAAATAATTTTTTTTTTTTTACAATCAAGGACTCCAAGTGCCATGGAATAGCTTACACCTAACGCATATTTGATTAATAAGTGTCATTTTGTAAGTTAAGTTTAGTATTTAAGTCCTGAAGCCAGTACTAAGAAAATTATTTTTTTTTTTAAATACATTAAATCAATGTAAGATTACGTTTTTAAAATTGTTCAAAAAAAATTAGTCTCAAAAAACATAAAAATTGAGTAAAGACAATTTTAAAAGATGCATCTCTACATTAGTTTGATGAATTGTTTGAGTGCTGGTCTTATAAACTTGAATCATTGAGTTAATTGATAATTACTATTAAACCATTGATTTAATAATATCCATTTATGTTAGGTTGGATTGGTTAATATGATATCTTCCATGCTCTCATTCCACCAACTCGTTTTTCTTATAGATAATGATCAAGATTTGTATTACTTTGTCAAACCTGTACGACTTGTTTTATAAACATATAGAATGATGTACTACTCATAGTCACTGCCTATATGATTAACCAAGAAAAATGGTCGATGGTGCAGTTGACATATACCTTAGTTATTTGATTAGTTCAAGCTTTCGTATCTACCATTAAAAAACAAAAAGCTTTAGTATCATTAAGAATTATTCCCATTTGAATTGTGCACTAAATCTGTCCCCTTAAAATGGTGACTCTCACGTCAGGATTCTATCTTGTATAATGGGGATACATAGCTTGCAATCTTATAAAAAAGGGCTTCGATGAAAAATGATGACAAAAATTTGGAAAAGAAAGGAATCTACTTCAACTCAAATCATAATTGGTCCTTAGTGCCCTAATCAAAAGAATGATTACTATATAAATTAGGCAAAGCACATATTAATGCCTTTAATCATAAATCAGCATCTTCCTCTCATTGCCGCCAACTTTGAAAACCAGGACAAAGACTCCAACACTGGTCACCCTACTAAAAATTAGGAGGTGTTAACATTTAAAACAATTTTAATCAATTGTTATTATATGTTAACTTATTAAATATATTTAAATATTATTATTATTGACATTTTAATTATCAATACATCAATAATCACTTTGATTTTAAGGGTTTATTTCTCAAATGGATCAAGAAATTGCAAAAAGCATATCAAAACTATCTACTTATGAAAGTTTTTCATTAGTTTTCTTAATGAAAATATCTCAAATGAGAGACTATCTAACGCCATGTATATAAATACACAATGTTTCTTTGTTTATTGGGGTTTGACTTGATTTGACTCTAAATTAATTAAAATTTTTTGTGACTTTTAGATACTAAGGTTAGTGCTAAAAAAATTAAATACACAACGTGACTTAAGAAATTACATATTAACATATAATTAACCTAAGTCCAGAAAAACCCAAACGTCACATGTGCCTAGATGGGTATTGGTTTTATTGAACTTTAATATTTTTTATTAAAAAAATAAAAATTAACTTTTAATTTATTAATTATTTAATTAAATTAATCTACTTAACAACAACCCTAATATTAATATCAATTTTTATAATTATATATATATTTATAATAAAAAGATACATTTAATACATAATTTAAGATACAAGTTAAAAATACCTTACTACAATTGATAATGCCATTTTTTTAATCTTCTAATCACTGATTTTATTAATCATTGAAGTATAGATACAAAACTTCAATAAGTAGAGGATTTTGATAGAATTCCTTATTTTACAATCTAATTCAAACGGTAAAACATGGTCTCATGGATGGAAAAAAAAAAACCCACAACATCAGATAACACAATCCCATGGACGCATCATAATTTCATTTAATGATTAGTATTTTACTATCTAAAATAGTTTATATTAGACAACACTTTTTTAATTTTAATTTTTTTGAAAATTTCTAAATTAATTTAGAAGAAATAAACTTACACTTTAGTGATAAAAAAAAAAAAAAAAAAAAAGGTAATTAGCCACAAAACCAAGCACTAAATTTAGCCAATATTTTTTAGTTGGAGAAGATCACTAAGGACCAAAAACACCATCAACTTTCCAGAATTGGATTAAGTTGATTTTTTTTTTTTAATTGATCTAAAATTTTGATGAAAGTCCACAAACAATTTGTACATGACTGAACAACAGAGGGATTAAGATAAACGTGACTAGGAAAACTGTCAAGAGCAATCCAAATTATCCATTTCATCTTCCAAAATCATCTCCTGATACCGGCATTCTCGACTGCAGAAAGCCTTCTCACCCCTGGAAAGACCAAAAAACTTTCCTTAAATTAATGTCTGAGTCGAGACCCAGATGTTTTTGAAAAGAAACAGATCAAAGTGTGCAAGAGAAACAGGAATCTTGCTAAAAATCGAAAGATTGAGGCTAACCTGTAGATGAAAATGTCTTTTCCCTGCCCAAGATTCTTCTTGCATGTGTAACAGGAGCTGAGGAAATTCTCCGATTGGTAATTTGACCGTTCGCAGGGAAATCCATTCTCTTTCCTCAGAGCAGAGAATCCGACGACACCATAACAGCTCTCCACGACGCAATCGTCAAAAATATGGGTAGTTCTCGGATTGGCACCGTGAGATATCACGCAAGTGTAATCCTCGGAGAGCTCCATCTCAGTTGCAGAGAGAGATCCGGTGAAAACCCGGGGTGAACTTGCAGCATCCATGTTGGAATTCGCCGACCCAAATCCGGATTTTCTCGCCGGTGAAGAAGAAAGCAAACCCAATTGAGAATTCCTCGTTTTGATACCGAACTCCGGAGTGGATTTGGGCGATTCCGCTGGAGAAAGAACAGAGGGAGGCAGAGGAGGAATATGGATCCTTAGCTGCGACCCGAACAGAATCATCCGGGTCTCGGGTTTTGACTGATTGGGATCGGAGTCATCGTCACGGAGAGCATCAACAATGCCTAGGCCGATCCCTTTGGAGCCGAGCTTGTGTCGGGTTTCAGGTTCAGGGGTTTTGGGGGTGCCAGAATCGGACCAGAAAGGGTTTCTGAAAGCAGAGAAGGACTTGCTGTCAAGTATAGAGGTCGGGCTCATTACCGCCTCATTAGCATCGGTGAAAACTTTTAAGGTAGCAAATCCGGTCAACAACCTCGGAAATGAAGTGGGTCTTTTGTTCTTGTCTGCTGGAAATGGAAGATTTGCTCCATTTTCCGCCATTTTCAAAGCTCCCCTGCTTCTTGAGTCTTAATCAAAGTCTAAAAATAAACAAAAAGACATAAATAAAAAAACAAACACCCCGATAAAAGGCAATAATAAACAGAGGCCGACGACCCACCTGGGAAAGTCGAGCTTTTAGCAAGAAACCGCCATGGATACTAGGAATTTATGATCAAAGCTACCTTTCAGCTATTAAAAAAAAAAAAAAAGAGAAGTAGGGATTTTGATTCTCAGATAAGAGTTAGAGCTTGCAGAAAAAAGCTACCATCTTTACAAACCCAGAAAACAAAAAGGCCAAACTGGAATCCGTGAGAAGGGACTCTGTTAGCTACAACTCAGTGGCTGCCATTTTTTATTAAAAAAAAAAAAAGAAGAAGAAGGAATAATTGAGAGGAGGAAGAAGAAGGATTAATTGAAGTTGATCTCCCGAATATCTCGCCACTTTGATTCTTCAATTTATCAGGCAGAATCCAACTGGGGTCGGAAGAGACATGGAAGATGGCCTCAAAAGAGTCCCAATCAATGAGACCAGACGTGCAATGCTTCAGAGAGCAGCCCAAACAAGGTTTTGTTTTTTTGTTCCACTGTAAACAACCCTTTTTTTTTTTCTCTCTGCTTTGCTTTTCCTTCTTTTCCTTTCTTTTTCCTCCCCCACTTCCTTTATCTTTTCTAATACACCAAAAAAAAAAAATCAAAAATCAAAAACCCTTGAAGACGCAGACAACAACCACAACTCCCAACCAAACCCAACCCATCAACTCAACCCTCAGCAGCCTAAAGAAAAGAAAAGAGAAACAAAAAACATGTTCAGTTTCTCTTCCTTCTGTACTTCTTTATTAGTGCGTTACACTTTCCCTATACGTTTTATGCTTTGTTTCTGCATCATCAGAGCTCTGAAAAATCGCTATGGATTTTGCAGAGAGATCAGAAGTGACAGAAGAAAGAGAGTGGAGATAGAGGAGTTGTTAGATGACTGTGGGCGCGCGGTAAACCGCATGGGAATCAGTGGGTTTTCGACAAAACCACCTTCCCAATGGCCGGATATGGAAATATTTTAACGTCTGATTTTTGGCATGGAAAACCCTCTTTCTCTCTCTACTGGGACGATGCTAATGGTTTTTTCTCAGGGGAATTTTGACCGGCGCTCTGGCGTGGATGGCTATCTTGGACAGGACCAGACGGCTTTCGATTTGCCGAATATATAAAAGGATGATGAGACTCGCCAACCATTTCTTTTACTGAAATAGCAGATTTACCATGCATGTGAGTTAAGGGGTTTAGTTATTGCTACATGTATGGATGTTATACCCA